AAATAGTAAATATCTTTAACAATATTTAAAAAAAAAAAAAAAGATTCAGTTGCAGCCATAAAAATAACTTTTTTAAAATTGTCTTAAAATGTTAAATACCAGTCTCATCAAGACGCATGATGTCATCCCTCAAGTTTGTCCCACCCGTTGTAGCCATGATCTTGACTCCTCCCAGGTGCTTGCTGAGTTGAATGCTGATCTGGCTCATCTGCAGGGCCAGCTCTCTTGTTGGCACCATTACCATGGCTGGAAGGAAACAGATACAATAAGGGCTGATATTAATGCAGAAAAAATTAAGGTTTCCAGCAGCAGAAAAACTATTGATGGAGTAGTGCAGTGCAGCGATCATAATCAGTATATTATCAATATTTTCCATTAGTTTTAGAGCAACAAAAGAACCACTGATCAAAGTGTGCATGTGTGCAGCTTGAGCACAACATCCCTACAGTTCATGAAATTATCTCTACTTTTCAGTCATGGCTGTCATATATTCATGCTCATGTCTCAGTTTATTTTATTGCACTTCACTTAGTTATCAGTAGTCTGCAGTGCTGCAGACCACTGATTCTGCACGGTACTTTCATGCACTACTCATACGCTGTGAAGCCACTAATCATGTACAGTCTGTCGCTACTTTCTTCCACTGTTGTCTAGCCACCAGGCATCATCTTAAACTGTAGTTGGTTGTCTCAACACTGTCATGACTGTAAGCCATCAGCCCTAGAAGAAACTCACCCTGGATATGATCCTTCTTAAGGTCTATCCTCTCCAGGAGAGGAATGAGGTAGGCACCACTTTTTCCCGTTCCATTTTTAGCCCTTGCCAAAATATCTCGTCCTGATAAGGCAATAGGGATGCTCTCCTCCTGTTGGCAGACAGACAAGTCAATTCAGAAAAATGGGCATGGTTCTAAAGGATCACCCCTACTGTTTCCTCTAACAGTCAAAAACGCGCAAAGTGACACCAATGTTTAACACTTCATACTTCTATGTAATCAGGAGGACTAGAGATTGGACTCATTTAGCCTCCTACTCACTGAAATTAAAACTTGTTCCAGAGTAAATTAATCAAAAATGCTTCTCTTCTGTTTGGTAGATGCATATTAGTGTTTCTCCTGCTGTTTTTTCCATTTGTGGACAACTTCCCTGCAAAGCATATGGCTGAGGCATGGGGCTGTATCAAGGCAAAGTGGGGGTAATGGCATTCTGTTAAAGGGTGCAACTATTTATACATCTAAATTAACACCAGAAACAGGAACCAGAGTTCTGGCTACTTTATTTACCTGGACAGGGGAAGGTTTCTCCCATCCCATTTCAAAGATTCCCATAAGCAGTTCTCGCTTTAAGCAGTAGTCTTCAAATTCATTTCCCTTGGTGGATGTCACATCCTGGAGAACACAACTCAATCATTTTAGTTTACTGTTTAAAACGATCCAGAGGTTGAGGATTACAGCACTAGATGGCAGCATGCACTGAGTCTAAGTAAGCATGTATAACTATACTTGCGTCTAACGGCAGTCACCTACCGAAGTTTTCACCCTGGTATCTTTTGGAGGAAGCTCCAGGCATTTCTTCCAGTCATCACCAAACCTAGTCGTAATCAGGAGTACAATTTTTGTAGGGAAGACCCAGACCATATCAAGTGAAAAAAGAAAACAAAATGTTAAAATAAGCACTGCAACATTTAGTTCTTTATTTCATAATCTTCAGAGAGGGAAAAGGGCTTTAAGCAGTGTGATTTTGCTCAACTTGGAAAGATGAAGACCTAATATACTAAAAATACACAACAGCTTAATGTAGTAATTTCTATGGCGAGCATTGGTGAAAACAACTTCAAAGCAGCACAGCAATACTAAAACTAATGTATGCAAGGCTAATATTATAACTTCTAAGACCCACACAATGGACTAACCAATTATTAGAAGTACTCATTGTTTCAACTAGATGGCAGAAATTAGCCAGATATAAAGAATAACTTTCACTTGTCCATATGTGTATTACTAGTCTAGTTTGTTTTGTTTGTTTTTTAAATTTACATGTACAATGACAATAACCTATTGTATTCTAAAGCAGTTCTGCTGCTGGCCATAATATTGAAGAGCACAGAGAGCAAGCTGACGCCTTTAAAACTGCACTCTGGAAACCAGGGTTATTTTTGATGCCCACTGGTTAAGAAGAACTAAAAAAAAATTCAAATTATATTCCTTTGGGTAAGCAGATACTTGCCCTCCACCTGTACGCATGTCCCTGTTTGGTAAGTGGGCAAACATCTAAATAAGTGTTAAATGCAAATCTACTTCTTTTGGTTAATTTATTTTGGATCTTGCTTTTAACACCCAGCTAGCCCTGGTGTGAATGCTGATGATGTTCTAAAATTGTCACATATGCACACAACTCAAATGTGAAGTACATGATCTTCACAAAATTAACAATTCTGTAATTCATGAACTTCCAAACAAAGTACTAAGTGCTCACAACAGCAAAAACATCTTACTGTTAAACCTTAAATTATTAAGTCATGTCAGGACAGGTGTAATGGTAATTAGAGCTGATAGCAGGGATTTAAAAAAGGCTTTGACTGTTTAGAAGATTTGGTGAGAAGTCCTGAACTTTCCCATGGGGTTCTCATGCAGGTTTTCTCTAAAGCACAAGCTGTCAAGCTGCAAAAAATGATTATGTGAGGAAAAAACTACACTTTTCTGTTTTCAAAGTAGAAGAGAAACATTACTAAAGCCAGTATCTTACTTGATGCCTCCACTGCTCTGAGGTATGCTGGTCCTTTTATGGGCACTGGGATGTTGGACATTTGACAGGAGTTCAGACTGTTGTCCACCTGTCTTGGTCTGTCCCCTGAGCTGCCCATTTGCTGGTTTGTTCAATCCAGCCATTGGTGCTGGGTTTGCAGTTCTTGCTGTCGCCATGTGTCCAACACCTTAACTGGATTTTCCTCACAGTATTGTAATATTTCAGCTTAGTTCCTTTTCACTGCTCTACTTTATTGTGCACATGTATTACAAAACTAAAACGTGAGAAAAATAAAACCCTTTTCTCTTATCTATCCTTTTTAAACCATGTGTTCACAATCTAACATTCAGACCTCTTCATAAAAAGAAGTTTGTGTGTAAATTCTGCCTATTTACAATACAACTCTCCAAAAAGGAGAAATCAATATAAATAGCGTGACTAATATGACCAAAGAATAAACTTGTGTGTGTTTTTAGTGTGCACTTGTGAGTATGAGTTTGACTGTTACATTGACTGAAAATGGGCAGTATTAAAATATGGACAACTTGATCACATATCTAACTGCTCTCATGTTCAAGTATATAACTCGTACTGCTGGGGTTTAATACTGGATTGTTCTTAATAGTGGTCTGAAAAAAATTACAATTCCTGCATTTTTTTTAAAGCACTGGCAGGCTACATTAAATTTTGGGGGTCATTTTTTTCGGTTTTCAATTCTCCTGTAGCAAAACGCCAAGATGGAAGCCTACAAAATGTTAAAGGAAATGATGAACAATACACAAGAAAAGTAGTCCAGGTTTCCTGCAAGAAATAAACAATGGCGGTTGTTGTTTTTTTAAGCATTAACAGGCTAGTCAAAAGAGAAGAGCACAAAAATAACGAGCGCCTCAAAGTGGTATTACTCAAAGGCACCTGACCAGATCAACGAAATACATTTCAGATGTGTACCAAAGGCAAAGCTCACCTTTGCTATATTGTGACAAATAATGCTGCCACCACAAGACTGGTGGTAGATGGCAAGAAAGTCTATCAAGTATTTATAGAAATTAAGTAAAATGAGGAGGTTGAAAAACGTGGAGTTAACATTTTAATTCGGACAACTTTGCCTTTGTTTTGATGCCGAGGCTAACAACCAGTGTAAACTTAATAACAGCTGCAAGCAGTTTTGAATTTTAGCAGCCAGTGTTATGGTCACTTAGCTAGCCAGTGCAATTGTTAGCCATGTTAAACAACAAAGTAAAGCCAACAGTGACCGACATGTGTTTAGTTTGTCCATAAAGTTACCGCTATCGATAACAAAGTTAGCTAGAACACTTTAACTTACACGAGTGTACGCGCCGTTAAAACTTCACGTACAGCTACGTGGGCTTTGCCATCGAGCTAACAAGCTAAGACTGCGTCTTTTTTTTTCCCGGTTTGTGAGAAACTGTTTCAAAATATCTGTCGTTTACAAAGAAACCGCATCTGCATCCGTTTACATCTCACCCTTCAGCACTTTCATTCAACCATCCGAGCACGCTGATTCTAGCCTAGGCAGTATACGCTAACGGTGACGCTTAACTCTACCAGTCAGAGAAAGATGCTACCTTTCCCTTACAAACTTACCGCCTGTGTCGTGATTCAACTGTATATCGGCTTTTCGTTTAAGCTTGGTAGGCACTACTTTTGACAAAGGCACAGAAGTTTTTTTTAACCTTTTGTCTCTTCTTTGAGAGAACTGACAATTCAACATGGCCGCGCTCGTTTTGGGGTTGGCTGTTTGAACCAAGGGAACTGCCAATTGGCCAATCACGGGCCTGTTTTCAAACGCCTCAAAAGTTTTAGCTACTCAGCTCAGGCCATCACTGAGGCACCGACTCTGAAGCCCAAAATACTGGCAATATGTAAATATAATGACGCTGACATTAACCCTAATACTTTTATTATTATGATCTCATATAAATGTTGCTTATTGAGGTAGTGAAGGTGGGTGAGCTTAAATACATGCAGTCAGCCTTGTGAAGTAATGACAGTGCACCAGAGAGGTGAAGAAGAGAGGGCTGGCAGGTTAGAGTGGGTGGAAATGAGTGTCAGGGGTGATTTGTGTAAAAAAAAAAAAAGGATAGCAGCAAGAGTGATAGGGAAGGTGTGCCTGATGACAGTAACACCTTGCAAACACTGGCTCTGACAAAAAGACATGAGAGCTGGAGGTGGCCACTGTGGAAACCTTTAAAGGGAGCAGCCAAGTAAAGAAGAATATGAGTTTTTCCCATTAATATGGTCAAATATATTCATGTCATCCAGAAATCCAAACCAGTATCTGATAGCCTTAAATTTATGCACAAGTCGTACATCTCATATAACAAATACCAGTGTGAATTCTTATTGTGGTTGTTAAAACAGAGAATATAATTTTTACTATTAATCAATATCGCATCCTCTTTGGAGCCAACTATAGATAACAGGCACCCGTTGTTAGCTGGTCTCATGAGTTTCACAAATGCTGTTAGTATGGGAATGGCTCTATTATTACTGGGATATTGCACAGGTGGAGCTTTCCGCACCACAGTTATATTATGTCCAAACAAAGAAGGTGTTATGTTTTTGTCAAAGCTGACAGAGAAAATCTGTGTTATTATAGATGCTGTTGGCAATTTGTTTTTTGTGTTCTTGGCTATCTTGAGTTATTTTGAAGAGATTTGTATAATCATCTATTTTGCTTTGTGTTTAAACATTGGGGATTTATCTGTAATGTTCAGATGATGCTTTGGCAGCAGTGAGGTGTTTCATTTCCCTCGTGCTACCCTTGCTTATTGTGTTAGGGGTTTGTGGGTGGGCGTAGAGCGGCTTGGTTAAAAAAAGGAAAGTGAAGAGGGGATGGAAACTGTTTTGTCTCACATCCTGTTCTGTCACCTGTGTGCCTGTCATCATACCCCTTTTTAATCTTTTCTTCTTGTTACATAAATACATGATCACAAAAAGGTTTAAGGTGAATAATAAAGCTAAAGCAAGACATCACATTTTTTATTATATTGTTTTATTATATTTTTATGTTTTATTGTTTTTATTTATAAAAATATCTACATTTTTTTAACATTAAAAAAACACATCAACACGCACACTAACAGACATAAGAGGTACAATGCCTGTGCACAGATTATCAAAAGAAAGGAAACCAGGTATTTGACTGTGCAATATATAAGTCTTACAAGGATACTGCAAACTTAAGAAGTCTTGGTGGCATAATGATGAAGACACTCTTAATGCAATATCCACAGTTCAAGTAAGGCCAGGTACATTTGTTGCATACCATCATCCCCTCTAATCTGCTAATCAGAAATTAAGACAAAGTGCCTAGAAATACTTTTACGATGGGACTCTGAGTTCACTGAGCTTTGGTCCATAGCAGTCATTTACTCATGTCTGTACATAGTTTTAAAAAATGTTTTTTTTATGTTCAGTCTTGAATGCATGCAGTGGAATATTTCTACTGATGCATAGTTTTCCAGCAGTGTTTCACTCCCCAGTTTTCAAAGAGTCAGTACAGGACCGGAGTCTCCTTAGAAGCAGCAAGCTAAGCAGGGAGGTTGCAGGCAAGTCTGTCAAGGCATGAAAGCCTGAGAAAGGACAGAAACTATGATTGTCCAGGGAAGAAAAATGGGAGGTTTGGCCTAATTTCAGGTGCAGTCCATTCCTGCCCCGCCATCCCATTGGGTGAAGCCCTCTCCAGCATGATGTTGTCTGATTGCTTCCTTGATGCTCGACTGTGTGGACATAGATGCAAGTCTTACTGGAAAATAAGTCTGAGATCGTAAAATGGAAGTCTCTGGAGAGTGGGAAGCATTCTGATGAACAATGTGTGGCGTAATTGAAGGTGAGCACCCACGACTATGGCTGGGAGATGGAGACCCTAAAGGAGAAGCACAGAGTATAAATTAAATACTGCAACTTTTGTTGTTTCTGTGTGTGAGACAAAAAGACGCTTGAATGCTCCTCACCGTTTTCTGTTAGGTTGCTCTCAACTGGTGAGACTGACATACAGTGCTGATCTTGGACTCTTATTTGCCTGGAGCCTCTTCCTCGTAACACATCTGCTATCTGTAAAACAATTTATAGTTCATTAAAAACTTTGTACATGACTTAAAATAAGTCTCATAGTGATATGCTAAAATAACTAGAGGGAAATGGTGCACTATTCAGGTTTGGCCTCTAGAGGGAACGATACACACATTTACTTCCCATTTTGGCTTCAACTCTTTCTTCCCACTAATAAGAGCTAGGCCAAGCAGGTTTTGCAACTGTTTGTATCTGTTCTGACATAAATTATGTAACAAATAGCTGTGAATTCCCATAGTAAAATCATAGAGAGAGACTGAAAATTTGTACAAATATAAGGAACTGATTTACTGTTAGATCAGTAACCTTTAGGAGGTTTATTGTTTTCCAGCACAAGAAGCAGGAACATACAACCATAAAACAGAATAAAAGGAACAACACTGTATCAATGGAATTACAGCAATGTCCATTATATTTATTGTTTTTCCTCTTTGTCATCGCCTCACTCACTTTTTTGTTCTTGGCCACCATCACTGGGGTGTCATTGTGGTAGTTCTTGAGGCTACTGTCAGCTCCACTCTTCAGCAGCAGCCGCACTGTCTCCACCTGACCTCGGCCACAAGCGCTGTGTAGGGCCGTGTTCCCACTATATGACTGGCTGTTGACATCACATCTATTCTGCAAAATAGAAAATCACCAGAAAATGATTCATAAAGGAAGCCAGAGTAGATGTCGGTAACTTAGAAAATGAAACAAGAGATAATGTCCCAAAGAGGTTGAGTGCAGTCTGTGATGAAGAAAGGAGAAAAGATTCACATATACAGCATAGCTGCTAAACTCTAAAAATAAAGAAAAACTACAATTATATTGCAATACTTTAAAAAGGACCGTAAGAAGAAAAAGGAATACAAAACTATGCACTGATAATGAGGTGGAAAGAGAAAAGCAGAATTATTTAACTCTGCTGAGTCACAACCCTTCTCTCCCCTCTTCTACCCACACAAATTCATTACCTCAATGAGGAAGTGGACCATGTCTGCGTTATTGCTCTCCACAGCATGCATGAGAGGACTCTGGCCACTTTTGATGTCCTGATTAGAGAGAAAAAAAAAGCACCATGGGAAAAGTCAGAGAATGCAGAGCGGAAATGCAAAAAAGCCGTGATGCTGTGAAACCCACAGTGCTGAGTCGGTACAACAGGGACTGACCATGGCATTGATGTCAGCTCCAGCATCCAGTAACATTCTTGCCAAATCCTTATGGCCCTGCAGAACAGCCAGATGGAGAGGGCTCAAACCTAAGAATAATAAAAAAAGGAAAAGCCTGCATTTTATATTCATGTTCAGATTTTTTGCGCATTGAAAAAACAGATATCAGTTACAGAGGTACAAATAAATGTCTTCAAAGCTGCTTGGAGATTTGGCAATGCGACACTACACTGACACCAGACCACAAAGGAAGGAAATGTCCTCTTCCCACCCACACACCCAAAACAACCAACCCAACCCATACCTGAGGGTGGCTTTACATTTTTCATACCCACCAACAGACTGTTAAGGCAGTTAAGGAGATTATAAGAATAGCTGTATTCACTGTAGTAATGTAGTAATGCAATTTTCTTTTCATAGCGCTTTCAGTCTGGAAACTGTGTCAGCGGTTTTTAATTCACTTCACCTGATTGTGCACATGTTTCAACTGATAGATGTAAACGTAAACTGGGTCACAAATACAGGGGGCATGTGACAAAAACAACAAAAATAAACAGAAAATATATCAGGAAGTATAATTTGATTGCTAGCCAACCATGTTTAATTTGATATTTTATGAATTAGTTAAACTAAATCAAAAATTATAATAATCTGAGATAAAAAGATGCTTGCAAATAATTACAGGCTTTATCACACTTAGTGAGAGCTAAAGAGGTGTAAGCAACCCTTTTAGTGTAATACATGCCAAGAAGTATCTTTAGTAACTCACCATCAAAATTTCGGATCTCAAGGCAGGTGGCAGATGATGGCATAGAAAGCACTACAGACAGGCAATCCCGCTGGTCATATTCACAGCAGAGGTGGAGCGCTGTTTGCCCATTACGGTCCAAGGCTGCAGGGTCAGCCCCTGCTTTCAACAAAGCTTCCACCATGTTTGCCTGCTTAGTTATCACTGCCAGATGAAGGGGAGTCTGAGGGGGAATAACAACAAAAATTATAGTTTAAACAAGCCAGATATATCACAGCTGATAACCATAAAGATGCAGTGCAGTGTTTCTCAAGCTTTTGGTTTTTTCACAAAGCCCACAAACAAGGGAAATACATACTTGACATAAAAAAGCACAGTGTTTACTTTGGCTAATTTACGATAACTATTCTTGTCAGTGAAGTTAAGAACGCGGTGTTTTCTTGTAAAGGCCTCTGTTTACCTATAACCTGTTCAACAGGTTAAAGGTCAATGACACAAAAAAACAACAACAACAACAAAAAAGAAGCAAGAACACATCAACACCTAGAAGAAACACACAATGACCATGAGCTAGCTTTACCTATGCATGTGTATTCCTAGATTTACACAAATACACTCACTAAGTGCAAAGTTTTCAGCACTTAAATTAATATATCTTACAGAACAAACACTGTCAACAAGAGTAGAAGCATCAGACTTTGTGATTAACTGAAAATGAGGAAGAACCTGTTCTGAACCGCAGTCGACAATGCCGGGAAAAGCAAAAGTCACTGTTCACCAGGTGTTTGCCTGGATGAATATTGTAAGCACTGACAAAAATCCCTTTAGCAATCTAGGATGTTCCTGTAGGTGAGGTCACCATGTATCATCCTGTTTATATTATGTCAATTACGGCTCGGGAGGGCGCAGGCAACCTGGGGTTCATTAAGCAATCCTTAGTTCATAGTTCAGTCATAAAAGGGAAGTATTTAAACCTGGACTTTTTTAGCTGCTATTCTAGTTACACAATAAATGCAGCAAGTAGGAACGGACTGCTTCTCCAAGTTTCACTTTTGCTGTGTTACTACTAACGTGTGTGTGTGTCTGTGCACAGAGAGTTCGTTCCAGTAAAGACTATTAAAGTAGGTAGGGTAGCAGTGGGAGAACATCTTTGTGGAATTCCTCCAATGTGTCAATGCAACTTCCCTGAATCCTATGACTCACAAACATGCATAAGTACACAGTCATATACACAATCATGTTCCCTGAAAGATTTCCTGTATTTGAACTTTCTGCTATAAACATTTACTATAGAACAATATTATGAAATGCTACCATACTATTAACTTTTCCCAAACGCCATTAAGGACATGTCTTAAATCACTTTTGATATTACTTTACCACTAAGGCCTTTTATGGCCTTTAATATAGACCCCCTTAGAGCTGGCAGGCTCTGGCTTTGGCTTCCTGTAATAGATTTCACAGTGACTAAACTAAATTTCAGCCAAGATAAGAGGAAAGGTAGGAAGGGAATGAAGGGGTGGAGAACAAGGGGAAAAAAACGGAAGTGGCAGAGGGGAGTCCAAGGGAAAGACAGGAGAACAAGGGAAAATCCCTTCTCTTTCCCTTGGGTCTGTCCTCATAGGCTTACATTCCCGAAAGATGAGTGGATCATCATGGATGAGGTAAAAAGATGACAACAGTAGAGGTTTGGAGGCATGAAAAACAACCCCAGGCAGTTCCAAACAAGGGGAAGGCAGCACAAAGCGCCAAAGACTTGTCTTCTGCTGTGAGCACAAGAGGGTAAAGCCAGGCCTATTGCACAAATAAACATCACATGCTTACGTCAGTGTTGTTGACAGTTACACTGATAGGATCTGTCAGTTCATCAACTATGGTTAGAAACCAAATTCTATAACCAAAGATATATGCAGTGAGAGATATAAAAAAAGAGAGCGAGAGACTGAGGGAGATAGAGAAACAACACAAGTGAGACAGAGAGAGAGAGGCACGCGCATGAAGGGAAAGTCCCTGTAAACTACCCTCTGAACCTCACTGCAAGGTATGTTGAGAAACAGCCCAAAGCAAGGCGGGGGGGAGGGAGGGGTCATGTGACTTCTCGGAACGAGGACACTAAAGTACACACAAACGCACACGGATGCCTTGTTTGTGCACACACATGCACACACGCTCACACTGAAAAATAAAATGGCATACCACCAATGTACCATAAACAAAAAGAAAACAATTATTCAATTGTTAAACTGCCAACCGCATACTGCACTGTAACGGTAACACGTCCACATGGTAGTCTCTGTTCTAATCCACATGTCAGTCAGTGCACGTTTTAGTGTGGGTGGCCCCAAAGGATTTAGTCCCCAAACCCCACAGTGTCAGCATCACGCTACATTATCCACTGTTGTAAGAGAAGCAAAAGTTTACCATTGTAGTATGTGTTTGTGTAGCTGATAGCATGTGGGAGTATCAAACAGCTGTCTCTATACTATTGTTGTAGTTCTGGGAGTGGAAGGCAAATCATGCCGTGACACTTGCACTGCTCTTCAGTTACAATACTGATAGTAACACTCTGTCAAAATGTTCCATATGCAAAACCACAGAAACTCAGGATTTGTCATCATTGGATAAGTTGTATTTTAATTGTGCCTGGGTTTTTTTTGTATTAGAAAATGGCCTGTGTCTTCTGGACTACGAAGTGAACTCAGTGTTTTTAAAATTTAAAAAGTTCCCTACCTTCATGTTGATAAGTTTATTCATTGTGCCTGGTTTTCAGTCAAAACCACACAATCTGGTAGGCAAATGACTGTGGCGGGACCTATGCCTGTAAATCTCCCTTTTTGGTTATAACTGTGTATGACTTCAAATGTGAGTGTGTATGTGCATGTATGTGTGTGTGAGTGTGTGTATTGCGTGCATGCATTTTCATACATAGGGCAAACACAGGATATCATAAAACCTATGCTGTCAAGCCTCAGCGATGAGGAGAGACAACAACTGATGATAGCACAAGCATTATTTCTGGTAAGCTTGCCTGTGGCGTTCAATGTGGTGTGAAACCCCACACTTGAGAACAAACTCCAGACTTGAGAACTGAAGCTCTGAAAAAGCTTGGTTGCTTTTCTATTGAGGAATGGAAAAGAGAAAGCCAGCAGAAATCAGGAGACAACAAAGGAGAAAAGAATGTTGAACTGTTGGCTTGGCACCAGTGCCTGGGACAGCCCTGGATTGGGAAACACTTAAAAGCAACTCCATATACACAATCCCAATAAAACATGTTGATAGAGTAAGTAGGGAGTTGCACTGCTCCATCATTTTTTTGGGGAAAAGTCACCCTAGTGAAACTGCATTGGATCTATTTGTCAGTTTTTCACATTAAAAATCCAAAATTGCCCTGCACAAATTAAAACATGTGCAAAATACAAGTTTAAAAGGCGCTTTTGAAAATTTTACTGTGTAATTTTGCATATGAACATTTTTTTACTTAAGGTAAACACACTAGGTACACAGCAAAATCTCCAGTGTTAAATTAACACTGGAGAGTGTCTATATGGGTCCACACCTCTGAGTGTTAAATAAAACACTGTTGAGTGTTAAATTAACACTTTTGACAGTGTTATATGTTTAAAAGTAACCTAGTCAGTTTTGAAGATTAACAACACTGGAATATTTCTAACATTTTGAGTTATTTTCCAGTGTTAGAAAATCAGCACTGCTCAGTGTTAGTCTTTGTTAATCTTCAAAACTGACTAGGTTACTTTTAAACATATAACACTGTCAAAAGTGTTAATTTAACACTCAACAGTGTTGTATTTAACACTCAGAGGAGTGGACCCATATAGACACTCTCCAGTGTTAATTTAACACTGGAGATTTTGCTGTGTATCAGTGTAAGGTTTCTGGGAGTTAGTGTGAGTCATTTTTGTGCCAATTAATCATATTGGCTTTCTTCTTTCTGAATTTCACAACATGGTAAATCCTACATGTAAACACTGAAAAATCCCTTGCTACATATACAGAAAGTGACCACTAGAAAACCATGTGCAAAATACAGAACACTGGAAATCACACATAGTCCTTCCCAGAATGTGCATGGCTTTGGCTTGTGGCAAGTACAGGTGGAGAAACCGGGAAGGGTGAATTCCACTGCACAACCCTCAGCTGCCATGACCGTAAGTGTGTGATAATGCACTGCAAGGCAAGGAGGAAACCAATTCACTTCCTCTTTCTTTCTTTTCCATGTAAGTGTTATCAGAAGGGTGAGACGGGGAAATATATTGTGCATGCTGAGGCTGTTTTACATGCTAAGCTTTTTCTGCAAGCGTGCACATGTCCACACATGCCAACAGCTCCATAATCAGCAAAGATTCTTCGCTTTAAACTATTTAAATTTCTTTGCAAATCCCTATGACTATAAAAGCTCTGTCTCCTGGCATTTAATGGTCAGAACTGTGTGCATGTGTATATTTGTCAGTAGCTTTATCAATGCATCTGTTTTACCTGACGGAGATTGTTGTAGATATCAACGTCTTTATGACCCAACACCAAGAGCTGGATGAGTTTGTGGACTATGGCCAATGCTCCCTGGACCACGGCTATGTGGAGAGCTCTGTGAAGGACACATGCACACAAAAAAATGACACAGTCATCAAGTGTTGCATTTTCAAATTGGATTTAACATAACCTATTTCTCATTTTCAACCTGATTATCATTGATCAAACCCTTAAAAGCTAATCTCTTTTCAACCAAATCCCAATCCCAAAACCCCTTCATGGCTGAAAAAGTGGTACATGTAACTCTTCACTATTTCCCCAATATGAATCAATATATGTACATATATGGAAATTAGTGTGTGCCTCATTCCTGACCTCTTGTCAGAAACCTGCAACCACTCTCCCTCTGCATCTGTGAGTCTCACTCACTCACTCACTCACTAATTATTGTGCTAAATAAAAGAAGGCAGCACATGCGCACAACCCACAATATTAGTCAGGAGAAGAAAATCATTTAATTTTTTTTTATATTGCAGGAAGTGTATTGGATAGCGTATAACAAGTTGTTGCAGACGATAAAGTTCTAGTCAAACCAAAGCTATTTACTTGTTAGGAAACATACTGTTGGGCATAATGCAACATGTGTAAAGTAATGAGTTATAGTCAACTCCAGAACCATTTCCAGAGATGGAGCATAGACATACACAGACACACACATGAGCAAAGACTTGTTCCAAATTACCAAGCCTGACAAGTTAGTCTCGCTCTGCAAGCTGACAGAACTGTTTTCTTTTATTTCATTTTCTTACTGTGAAACCTGGGCTCTCAGTATTGACTCCAAAGCAAAAATGCTCAGCCACGTTCATGAATGCTTGCTTTGTTTATAACACTGTATGTCCTCTAGTTAAAACAATACCTTTTGGATAGGTTAACAAGATTAAACTGCAAAACTACTGTGTGATTATGTGCTTGCATGAGTAATGGCAGTTCTTTACATCATATACAGAATTAACCTTTAAAATTAATGCATCCCCATCATAAACAACTTAAAACAACAAGTGGAAATGGAACAATAGCGAGCCTGGCTGAGTCTTTATTAGAAGCCACCTAGTAGCACTCACACACTAAAGCACAATGAAGCTTTGTTCACACATGGCCTATTGAAGAAGTAGGAGAACCAGGTCACCAGACTATTACTTGTGCTATTGTCAGACTGTCACAAGTATATATCACATGAACTTTAGACAGGAAGCTGGCAGTTTTAAAGTCCAATCCACTTATAAATGACAACTGAATTCTCCATGCATCGTCCTCAGGTAAAAGTTCATAACTTCCGTGAAAGTGTAAAAACACCTTAATTAACACGTAGCATGTAAAAATGAAAAACAACAGCTGTGGTTTTGCTAAAGCGATGAGCCAAACGAAGTTAGTGCCTGGAAAAACGTCTTAGATGGTTGCCCGGCAACTTTACTGTGGCAACAACCTTTTTGTTTGTTTTATTTTAACATGTGCAGCACATTTATATATAGATTAAATGACTGAGACATAGCATCTTCATAATTGTACTTTTTAATTGTTTTCTCCCTGTCGTTAGCATGTTTGCTAAACTAAGCTAACCTCCGATAACCAAAGAAGGGGGCGATTATTTTGTGGCCTTTAAACTTAACATGTGGAGGACTTAACTTTGTTTTTTGATCAAAATCAGCCAATTCTGCTTGATCACCTGATATAAGTTATAACACTGAAAGTTGCACTGACAAGTTCAGTAGATGTACAGCACTGACTCACAGTTCCTTTATCACACAACCTTATCAAGAAACCACTGTCTGTGATCTATACATGAAGCAAATGAACAAACACAGGGCAGGGTTTGGGGCAGGGAAGGGCAGGAAACTGATTGGTGGTGCAGAGGCATGTTGTAGAAAACAGTTTATCAGTTTTCACATTTTTCTTTTTTTGCTCTATCAGAAGAAGCAGCTTCCAGTAAGACCCAGACAAGTTTTATGTCACTTCCTGTTGTCACTAACAAAGACAGCATTCTTTTTCCTCTATCTTGGTCTATGTGCACTGAAATCTAGTTATTAAGCCATATGGTTTCTGACAGGGGCTTTCTTTAGTTTTGCTCAGTCAGCTTCAACAGATAAGTCATAATCAGACATACAGTGCAATTATGCAACAGGAAACAGAGACAGTTCTTTAGAATAAGTTAAAAGTACCTTTGAAGGCAATATGAGGTCAAAAAAATAAGTTCATATAATGACAAAAGCACTTGCAACACTTTGCAACACTCTCAGTTACGTGAGATGTGTCCCAGTGACACAAAGTTAAGTTAAAGAAGAGTCGCGCTTGGAAAGAAATAGCTTAAACTGATTACAATTTTCAACATTACATACTACATATTAAGATTTCCCCAGTATTTTTTTTATATCTGTGTCCTGACATTTAATGATCATAAATATTCCTTCAAAGTGTGTTCTGTAACCAACATTCACTTGGCAGTTGCAGGAAGTGTGTGTGTGTGTGTGTGTGTGTGTGTGTGTGTGTGTGTGTG